CAGTGAGAACAATTAACCAGTGGAACAACCTGCCTCCAGAAGCGGTGAATGCTCCAACACTGGAAGTTTTTAAGAAGAGACTGGACAGCCATTTGTCCGAAATGGTATAGGGTTTCCTGCCTGAGCAGGGGGTTGGACTAGATGACCTTCAAGGTCCCTTCCAACTTTACTATTATTATTATTATTATTATTATTACTTCCCAAAATCCCTGCTAAATCATGAAATCACGTCTCTGAAAAAGATACCATTTCTTTGAAATAGTCAATGGTTTCTAAGTTACTAAAACTCATTTAAAGATTTTACAATCCAAAAATGGAAAACCACTGCATTATCTCTGTTGTAATAGCTTTCCCTAATTCTCTGAATATCTTACAAGGTATTTTTCCCATTGTATTGTCCAAAGAAATGTAGCACTTAACTTTTACATTTTTAAAATCTTTTTTTAATAAACACACATTGGTGCTTTGGCCAACATAATCAAGACATTAAACAAAGATTAGCTTCTCTGAAGAAAAATGTTCCTATAAACAAGGACATTACACAGCTTGAAGCAGGAAAAGAAATATTTACAAAATACAAGGTGGGTTTTATTTTTCTTTTCTGTAGATTTCCTTTATAATGCTAAGATGGTTATTCAGAATTTTCAACCCTATAAACAGAAAAGCACTTAATGCAGAGGGATATAGTAGCATTGGGGTTTTCCTTTTTTAAAAAAATTGAGAATTGTGGGAAAAAACCCCAACCATTAAGCAGTTTAGCTACTATTTTGTTACAATTAAGAAATGAGAAAAGGGTTCCCCCCTTTTTTGGGGTGATGTGTTTAATACAGAAGACAGACACAATGCTTAACAGGACAGGGACCAACAGCCACACTGCTAAGGTCAGGAAAATGTTACAATGGATTGGTGCGCAAAACATGGGAGTGACAAGGGATGGGAAGTGAGGGCAGTGGCCTCTTTAAATTAAAATAAATTCAGATCTGTTCAGCTTGGCAAGAGTCAGCTCAAGTCATTTTCAGGAAAGAAAACGTGACTTAATTTCCAAAAACTTGTAAGCTGAAATGGAGTTAAGTAAGAGGTAGTGGTAAAACAACATCCAATATTTCTCTGGAAAAAACTTTTTGTTACTCAGACATACGTTAAAATTTAAGATGCAATCTCAGCCAACGCATAGACTTTTTTTAATGGTGGAAGAAAAGGAACAATGAGATTATACCACACTCACAATATGGCTTGTGGACCTGGGGTGGCAAATTGTTGAATCCTGTGGCATCACTCCCAGTACTTAAGGCTCAACACTACTGTATTGCAATCTATTAGCTGAAGATATATAACCTACAGCCTTTTCAAACTAATGGCCAGAATGCAAAAGAAAAAAGGAAACACAGAAGTGTTAGTAATTAGCAGGGAAAGAGAAGAGAGTAACCCTAGATCATAGTCAGCAAAGAAAATGCATGGAAAAATGGTTCCTCTTGAAATGGGAATGGTTGCCAGCCTTTTCCCCAGTAATCTGCCATTAAAAAAACAAAGCATAATATGAATAAAATGTAACCTAAACATATCCAGGCTGATTATGGAAATTGCTTTTTTTTGCACAACTCCAGTGAGGGAAATAATTATTTGATCCCCTGCTGATTTTGTACGTTTGCCCACTGACAAAGAAATCATCAGTCTATAATTTTAATGGTAGGTTTATTTTAACAGTGAGAGACAGAATAACAAAAAAATCCAGAAAAATGCATTTCAAAAAAAGTTATAAATGGATTTGCATTTTAATGATTATTTGATCCCCTATCAATCAAGATTTCTGGTTACCTGTATAAAAGACACCTGTCCACAGAAGCAATCAATCAGATTGCAAACTCTCAACCATGGCCAAGAGCAAAGAGCTGTCCAAGGATGTCAGGGACAAGATTGTAGACCTACACAAGGGTGGAATGGGCTATAAGACTATTGCCAAGAAAACAATTGGTAACACACTACGCCGCGAAGGACTGAAATCCTGCAGTGCCCGCGAGGTCCCCCTGCTCAAGAAAGCACATGTACAGGCCCGTCTGAAGTTTGCCAATGAACATCTGAATGATTCAGAGGAGAAGTGGGTGAAAGTGTTGTGGTCAGATGAGACCAAAATCGAGCTATTTGGCATCACCTCAACTCGCCATGTTTGGAGGAGGAGGAATGCTGCCTATGACCCCAAGAACACCATCCCCACTGGCAAACATGAAGGTGGAAATGTTATGCTTTGGGGGTGTTTTTCTGCTAAGGGGACAGAACAACTTCACCACATCAAAGGGACAATGGACGGGGGCCATGTATCGTTAAATCTTGGGTGAGAACCTCCTTCCCTCAGCCAGGGCATTGAAAATGGGTCGTGGATGGGTATTCCAGCATGGCAATGACCCAAAACATACGACCAAGGCAACAAAGGAGTGGCTCAAGAGGAAGCACATTAGGGTCCTGGAGTGGCCTAGCCAACTCCAGACCTTAATCCCATAGAAAATCTGTGGAGGGAGCTGAAGGTTCGAGCTGCCAAACGTCAGCCTCAAAACCTTAATGACTTGGAGAGGAACTGCAAAGAGGAGTGGGACAAAATCCCTCCTGAGATGTGTGCAAACCTGGTGGCCAACTACAAGAAACGTCTGACCTCTGTGATTGCCATCAAGGGTTTTGCCACCAAGTATTAAGTCATGTTTTGCGAAGGGGTCAAATACTTATTTCACTCATTAAAATGCAAATCAATTTATAACTTTTTGGAAATCCATTTTTCTGGATTTTGTTGTTGTTATTCTGTCTCTCACTGTTAAAATAAACCTACCATTAAAAGTATAGACAGATCATTTTTTTGTCAGTGGGCAAATGTACAAAATCAACAGGGGATCAAATATTTTTTCCCTCCCTGTAAACTTCCTGTTTAACATGGAGAGACTGTCTCTGAAGCAACAGAGAACCCTAGAACAGATCAAGGTCACTGGCCAAGAGCTTCTTGCCACTCACAATGGGAAGCCATCCCTTAAGGAACCAAGTGATCTTGAGAATTTGCACTGCAAGTGCTTTCTATTGGGGGGGGGGGAAGAGGAGAAGGTCTCATTCAGGAAGCAGCACTTTTCACCAACAATTTCACTTCACTAAAATCTTAAGGGTGAGGGATGGCACTATGATGATGTGATGGTGGCAAGTGAGGTAAACAGACACTAAACAGCCAAAGAAAAAACAAATGAAAATACCCTTTCACCAGAGAACCAATTCCAGGGTCAACCAGCCAGCTTCACTCTCCTTTCTGAGGAGTGTACACCTATGAATGGGGAGGGAGAGGCAGCTTTGCTCTCCTCATTAGACCACACAGCACTGGATAAGGTGCGTGTGAGAGACAAAGAAACATAAAGAAAGGGGGAGGGGGAGAAGGTGAGAAAGAAAAGAGTTTCTAAACTCCTTAAATTCACTAAAAACTGTGAAAATTCCCCAGCAGGTTGTTTGAATATCAAACACAGATTTCAGAAACTTTAATGCCAAGAGTTAATTTGGTGCATTGTTTTTTTCCCCTTTTTGCTCAGTTTTCCTGTCTGTCTCTTATCTGTGGGCTGGCCGCTGAACCATGGCTATGGCCCCTGAATTCTGGCTCTTGAGGCAAGCAAGGGAAGGTGAGGTGGAGGCAGTGTCTGCTTCTTGGGAGGGCTTGCTGCCAGATGTGCGCCATGTGCAATGTGATGACTGGTCCTGTGCTTCTGACTGGTCCTCCCGCTCTGTCTTGGGATTGCAGGACAGTGGGAAACTGCGTCGTTCCCAGGGCTGTACAGTCTGGGAAGAAAAGGCAGAATGGTTGGTAGGCTTCATTGCTTCCACAATCTGGAAACCTGAAATATCCTTTCGGAATATGACTGCATCTAAGGGAAATCTTCAGCCTGTATGCAGCCCATATTGGTTCTTGTACCCCCCACCCCCCAATCTGAGGAGGGCGGGAAAGCACAAAAATAACCAAGCACAAGTGAACTTTCAATCTTTCTAGGCAAATAAAAACAAGTCAAATTAACAGGGGCAATCCACCTACAAGGATAACAAACACATGGGTTATTTCATTAAGTGTCAGAAGGGATTAATTCACTCACCTGTTCATCAAGGCCAGAGTCTGGTGTGGAGCAGCACATGTCCTCCATGGACAGATGCCGCATGGAGTCTCGGGACAAAAGGGTATGAGGACCAGAGAACAGGTCAGGGCTGATGGGGCTGCATGGAAAGTATATATGGGAGAAATCAGAATGCTGATAGCAGTTTCCAACATCAGGTGAGGCTGGCTGTGGGGTAGATGGGTTCCCCAACTGAGGGATTGTTTGTCCATCTGTAGACCTGTAAGACCTGAAATTAAAATAAATAATATATAAGGATGACAATTAAAGGGTACAATCTCCTCTCCAATCTTGTAGTTCATTGTCCCATCTTAATATAGACAAGTCATACGTGAAGCATAAAAGTAGAGAGTGGTTCCAGGAAAGCATACAGTTATAGCATCTATTACTTGCCAGTGAAAAGTCCCCTATTTTGTTGAAGCACCTTTTGATTTTATGACAGCATTCAGTCTTCTGGGGTAGGAGCCTATCAGCATGGCACATCTTGCCTTGGGAATCTTTGCCCACTCTTCCTTGCAAAAGCGCTCCAAATCTGTCTGATTGCAAGGGCATCTCCTGTGCACAGCCCTCTTCAGGTCACCACACAGATTTTCAATTGGATTCAGGTCCAGGCTCTGGCTGGGCTATTCCAAAACTTTCACCTTCTTCTGGTGAAGCCGTTCTGTTGATTGGGAGGAATGCTTTGAAATGTTGTTGCGTTGAAGGGTGAAATTATTCTTCATCTTCAGCATTGTAGCAGAGGCCTGAAGGTTTTGTGCCAAAATTGACTGATATTTGGAACTGTTCATAATTCCCTCCACCTTGACTAAAGCCCTAGTTCCAGCTGAAGAAAAGCAGCCCCAAAGCATAATGCTGCCACCACCATGCTTCACTGTATGGTGTACTTTTGGTGATACAGTGTTGTTTTTGCACCAAAGTTTGTGGAACTTTTCTTCTTGTTTTTTCATCAATTTTGGAGGGGCATCCAGTTCTGCAGATTTTCTATATCCACTGTACATCCCTGCCCATGATGGTCATTCTCTCTTCACCCAAGTTCCCCTTCTCAGAATTGGACTATTAGGTACTGACACTTGGCCGTGCCCACTTCTCTCCTGGCCTCCTGCCACAGCCAACCCACAGCGGCCTTTCATCCTCCGCCGGCACTCCCCCCCCCCGGCAATGCCCCCCCAGCCCCTCATCCCAGCTGATTCCCTGAGGCACACTTGTACCCTGGCAATTCGCTGCACAGGACAAGTAGCTGCGCCTCCTGGCAGCCAATCAGGCAGCGGGCAGCAGTGATGCGGAGGCACTGGGGGGAGGGCGGTGGGCAGCAGTGATTGCAAAGGGCACCAGGCAATTGCAGAGGCGCTGAAGAAAGCTCTCTCTGTGTGTGTGTGTGTGTGTGTGTGCACTTTTAATTTTTCTTCACCTCTTGGTGGTGTTTCCTTGTCCAACCTGCCCCAAATTCTCAGTTTCCTCAATTGAAGGATGGGTTTTAGGCTCCGGCACATTGATCACTGAGGCAGGACAGGAAAAAGATCTTCCCACTTGGGAGAAGAGGTTGGGGGGGGGAGGAGGGGAGGATCATGAAACACCTTGACTGTCATTTCAAGATGTCTTGGAGAGCAGAATCTTAGACTCTCTTCTTTCCTTCTTCCTTCTCTTTCTTTTCCTTCCTTCCTGTTTCTCTACCCTCCTCCCTCCCTGCCTCTTTCTTCCTCTTTCTTTTCCTTCCTTTCCTGACCCCATATATAATAATAATAATAATAATAATAATAATAATAATAATAATAATAATAATAATAATAATAATAATAATAATAATAATAATAATAATAATAATAATAATAATAATAAAGTTGGAAGGGACCTTGGAGGTCATCTAGTCCAACCCCCTGCTCAGGCAGGAAACCCTTTACCATTTCAGACAAATGGCTGTCCAGTCTCTTCTTAAAAACTTCCAGTGTTGGAGCATTCACAACTTCTGGAGGCAGGTTGTTCCACTGATTAATTGTTCTAACTGTCAGGAAATTTCTCCTTAGTTCTAGGTTGCTTCTCTCTTTGATTAGTTTCCATCCATTGCTTCTTGTCCTGCCTTCAGGTGCTTTGGAGAATAGCTTGACTCCCTCTTCTTTGTGGCAACCCGTGAGATATTGGAACACTGCTATCATGTCACCCCCAGTCCTTCTTTTCATTTAACTAGACATACCCAATTCCAGCAACCATTCCTTATATGTTTTAGCCTCCAGTCCCCTAATCATCTTTGTTGCTCTTCTCTGCACTCTTTCTAGAGTCTCAACATCTTTTTTACATCGTGGTAACCAAAACTGGATGCAGTATTCCAAGTGTGGCCTTACCAAGGCATTATAAAGTGGTACTGACACTTCACGTGATCTTGAATCTATTCCTCTGTTAATGCAGCCTAGCACTGTGTTGGCTTTTTTGGCAGCTGCAGCACACTGCTGGCTCATATTTAAGTGATTGTCCACTAGGACTCCAAGATCCCTCTCACAGTTACTATTATTGAGCCAGGTACCACCTATACTGTACCTGTGCATTTGGTTTTTCTTGCCTAAATCTAGAACCTTACTTTTTTCACCATTGAATTTCAGTTTGTTAGATAGCACCCAATGTTCAAGTCTGTCAAGATCCTTCTGTATCTTAAGCCTATCTTCTGGAGTGTTGGCTGTTCCTGCCAGCTTGGTATCATCTGCAAATTTGATGAGTTCCCCATCTATCCCTTCATCCAAATAATTGATGAAGATGTTGAGTACTGGGCCTAAAACAGAGCCTTGGGGTGCCCCACTGCATACTTTCCTCCATGTAGATGCAGTTCCATTAAGGACTAGACATTGAGTGCGGTTGGTCAGCCAGCTACGAATCCACCTGGTGGTGATGCTGTCTAACCCACATTTTCTATCTTATCAAGTAGTAGGTTGTGGTCTACTTTATCAAATGCCTTACTGAAGTCCAAGTAAATGATATCCCCAGCATTCCGCTGGTGTACTAATTTTGTCACCTGGTCAAAGAATGCAATAAGATTTGTCTGGCATGATCTGTTTTTGACAAACCCATGTTGGCTTTTGGTAATGACTTTGTTTGCCTCTAGGTGTTCGCTGATTTGTTGCTTATCTTTTCCAGAATCTTCCCAGGTATTGAGGTCAGGCTGATAGGTCTGTAGTTTCCTGGATCCATTTTTTTTCCTTTTTTGAAGATGGTAACTACATCAGCTCTTTTCCAGTCCTCTGGTAGTTCCCCGGTGCTCCAGGATCTTTGAAAAATATAGTTCAGTGGTTCTGAGATCACATCTGCCAGTTCCTTCAGAACCTTGGGGTGTAATTCATCTGGTCCTGGTGATTTGAACTCATCTAGGCTGGACAGGTGCTCACTTACCATTTTCTTGCCTATCTTGTGTTTCTAATATGTTTTTTATGGTACAGTTTTTGATAGGTTGGACTATTTATTGCTATGTACAGTATATGCAGGGATGTGGGTCTATACATACAGTTGCAAGAAAAAGTATGTGAACCCCTTGGGATAACGCGGAGTTTTGCATGAATTGGTCATAAAATGTGCTCTGAACGTCATCTAAGTCACAACAATAGAAAAACACAGTCTGCTGAAAATAATAATACACAAACATTACATGTTGTCATGGTTTAATTGAACATAACATGTAAATATTCACAGTGCAGGGAGGA